CCGTACGAGTAAAGTTTAAGAAAGCAGTCAATCTTTAGAGTCAGAAATGAAAGTATACCAAGAAATTTTATTAAGCACTGTTTATGAACAAGTTATTAGTACAACAAGGACCAGTCTTACATAGTACATTTTATAAAGTTAATGAGCATGAGTTGCAAGTATCAGTATATATATAAGTCAAGTATTTTCATTATTATCATGGCGACTTGAAATTAGAGTCACAATGCCGGGTAATTATCAGATAAAGATCAATGTTCATAATATTTTGAATAATTGTTTTAATAGCTAATTAGCTGGGTAAATTATGGAGGCTTGAAATAAGAGTCATTAATCCGAGTTTACCTAGAAATTTGACAGACATCAGTTATTCAAGTTTCACAATCCAATTTTGAGAGTATCAGTTAAGTCTCTCGAAAGAATTTTTAAAAGTAAAAGTTATTTGGATATGTAAAAGTTGAAGATAGTCTGTTTAATAAGGCAGAGACTGTAACACCCCGCCTTATCGTGAAATCAGAGTGCGAAAATTTCGCAAAGTTATTTAAAAATAAAATCTTTTACTTTGCGAAAATTGATTCGGGGTGCTACCGTAAAACGTGACTTATTTTGGAAAAACCGTTATCTTAATTTTTAATAAAATCATACGATTACTGATAGCATAATTTTTCCAAAAGTCATGGTGCTTAGCGCATGTTGATCCCGTTCAGCACGCCCTTAGCACGCACTTAGCGCACCTAAGCCGAGCTTAAGGGCCGCAAGTTAAAGTTTTCTAACTCTTCACGTTCATCATCATCCATACACGGACACATGGTGAACTAAGGGAGTTCGGGAGATTCTCCGAGCAATTGAGAAGGTAACTTCATGTTCAGTATCCTTTTATTTTGTCAAAACATAACTTCATCAAAACCATCATCAGCGGAAACGTAAATCGTCATAATACATACATAGTCAAAACATAAAAGTCCTGAAGCCTCTGTCATCTCACGCTCCCGGCCCGACGTCCCGACCTGAAAAACATGATAACAGTGGGAAGTGAGCACTATGACACTGTGCTCCGTGGAAACTCATACTAATGTAAACATTGAAAATAATAACAACATCATGATCTTGGCATATACATAACCTAAACATTAAACCGGTAATAACATGAACATGAATCTGATATCATCACGTGAACGTGAACCATGACCGTTACGTCATCTGCCGGCACAAACTAATGCCGGACACCATGTGCACACTCTAGTGGGCAGACTAGGGCCACTAGAACCCAGAATGGACCGGCGACCATTCCGAGCAGATACATGACATGAAATACATACCTCAAACATGGTACCGTAATTATAATCAATGTAGTACTTAGTCTGAGTCCCCACCTGATCCGTGAAAATAAAGGCAGTGCTGATACTCGTGACCTGATCAAACTGAAATATAATATAAACAATTTCTAATGACTATGCTCAGACTGTTTACTTAACTAATTATTTAAGTTAAGATGCTCTACTGAACCTGACATGTTATTTAGACTTAACCGGAATAACCGGAACTGATCTGACATGAACTGATCGGACATGAACTTACTGAACTGAACTGAACCGGGAATTTTAACTGAAAATGAAACTAAAAACATGAACCAGGCTGAAACCATAAAGTACGGACCGAACCGGTAAAAATGGGACTGAACCGGTCCAGCCGGTCTGAACCGGTGTGGACTGGACTGCCGGTCGGCTGAACTTAGCAGTCGATGTCGGCCCGGCCAGCAGCCTGCCGCGTGCTGCACGCATAGGCGCTGCCTGGATGGCTGCGGGTACTAGACGGTCGTCCCAGGCACGACTGGGCGCGCTGGGTGCGTGCAGCGTGCCGCTGGACGCGTAACTGTGAATGGCGGAACGCGTGCGTCGGGCGCATCGCAGCGTCGG